AGTTGTTGCTTTTATCATGTAGGGTCAACTCTACTGTCACGAGTAAAATATACAGAAATTAGCTGCTATCCTGCAATTTGCACAGTCAGCTAGAGATTGTGAAAGGCTGGATGTGAACTTCTTGCTTTTGAATATTGCTTCACGTAGTTGGTTGGTACCAACATACTACGGTCGTGTTATAACTGGTATCCAGTTGATGCCTATGATGTGCTGTACACTATAACATGCATGCAGGAAGACACGTTCTCTGGTGTACAGAGCTTTCTCAAAGGTTTCAGATTTTATTTATGCCCTTGATGTCACAACAATTTACTTCTTATTGATGTTAGTTACTTGGACAGGAACTTCTATTAAAAATACATGCTTGTCAAGCTGGCTGGTTTCACCATGCTGAGGGTGGTAGCCTTCATAATCTAACAGACTTTGATAGACATCTGTTGATATTTTGTCAGCCACTCTCCAGGCCTTTTAGTGACAGGCCAAATGAAGCAAAGGAAGTAGTCTTAGGATAGCCTAACTCTGTTGATTACAGTATTTGTTTTGTTTTGAGCCTTCAGCTGTTCTGCTGAATCTTCTTATGATAATAATGGTAATTCACGTTCTTAAATTATCAAGAATGAATTATATTGTGACTATTTTGTTAGCCTCGGGCAGAGAAAGAGGGCTGTCCTCATTGGAATGAGCTACATAAACCAAATGTGCTGAACAAGTATGTAAGAAGGCTTTCAGTTGTGTGGGCTCGTCCCAAAGCGTTGGCCATAATACACTTCAGGTGTTGGCTTTGGCTCTGCTGCCACTCCTTGGGATGTTAGGCAGGCCACGTTCAGCCCGTTGGGTCAGAAGTGAGCTTGTCAGCCAGCCCGTTGGGGGTCTAGTGGAGATCTGCCCATTTCAGGCCATTGGTGACAAAGTGAAATTGCCTGGGGCTGTTTTACACAGAATTCAGGTAACGTTGCTTGCAGGCGCTGGCTTGTGCCTTCTGCTACTTTTTTTCATTTTGGTGACATCAATGCTTTTCTCTTTTTCTATACCCTTACCACAGAGAAATGACATTTCAATTTCTGAGTAGTTAGAAGGCTTGTGTGTAAAGGAATGACTGTGTAAAAATAGTTTGGAATTGTCGTTTGCTTTTCTTTGGAGAGGGATCTAATATATGTAACTTGTTTCCACTTTGGAATAACATTGGCCATTGAAATTGCTTGCAAATAGTCTCAGTAGGTAGGTGGTAATATGTGATAAACTGAAGTTTGAGGTGATGTAATTATAAGCATGGAGCAGAGAGATTTGGGGTGATGTGTAGTTCAGCTGGTGCCTTGTGAAGAATGGCAATGGTGTTGCTGGGTCTGTGGTGGCTGGGAGCTCCTAAAAGCCAAATGTGCCCCAGGGCTGCTGTTTTGGATTGAACGCACGATGCAACATCTGCACAAAACTCAATGAAAAGACACCAGTGGACTGTCTTGGATAATGCTTTTGTTAGGACTTCCACCTTGCAACATTCCTACATCATTCCTTTCTGGAAAGGGATCTGTGGAGCTAGATATCTTTGCTCTGTATGCCTGTGTATTCCGTAATGACAAAGCAACAAAAGGTTGCAAAAATGTGAAGCAGGCTTAGAAGTCGCAATCTTGAACCAAAATAAACATTGCTTCCTAGTATTTATTGTCTTGTTTCTAAAGCTTTACTCTCACTTCACATTTTCACATCTTTCTCCATAACCAAGCAGAATAGAAACTTACTTTTTGTGTCACTTTCTGAGAGGAGAGAGAAGATCTTTATGCAGTCTCTTCAACCCAGCTGTTGAAGAAAACACCTGTTGCCACAAGGCCTGAGACAATGTCACAGGAGTTGGCAGCACAGAGGGTTACAATAATATCAGGAGAAAGATTTCCTGGGTTGCTTTGGGCGGCTCCCAGGCTCAGGGTTCAGGATGCTCTCTCATGTTTGCTCCAGTACTGCAGTGGCCCTGCTTGAACTGAAATCGCTCAAAAGGAAACCGGTGGCCTTCAGTTCCCTGTCTGGTGTGTATTTGTAGCCTTAGCTGTTGGTAAGGAAGCAGGACTGTGAACTCAGTGCGTCGGATTTAAAAGCCTTCCCGTTCACCAGCCCGTTACTTTTCCCTTGAGGCAGTTAGAAATGGGGATATAGTGGACGCTATCGTAGGTTTACTAGACGTTCATCCGTTTTACTTCAGTTCATGTGCATTATTCATGATGACTGGTTACAAGCATTAACTCATTTTGCTTAAATATGAAGTAAAAAACCGCTGCGTGACACTAGTCCCCAAATGAAGAGCTCAGCAGTACCAACAGCTGCTCTGAAGGGACGTCAGGAGTCTTCAATGAAGCAGCTTAGCAGCTCTTTGCAGAAGCCTTTTTCTTTAGCTACTCCTGCAGCTTTTGTTACGGGGAATACTTTGAATCAAGCAGAACAAATACATGCCAGTGATTATCTTCTAATAAGCTGTCATTCACCACTGTCAATTGATGACAACATCATGCAAGATTGAAGATGTGGAGTTAAGTTCTCCCTCTGAAGTCACTTGGCTTAGACCTTAGGTTAGGCTGACCTAATAGGAAAGAAGCAAGCTTGAGCCTGACTACAAAAATAGCATACAAAGAATGAGAGAATAGCCTTTTTAACGAAGAACAGTTGAGTTGAACTATATTTAATGTTAATTCCTAAGTTACTCTAATATGACTTCATGGTTGCGAGAAGTCTTGAGGAGAAATTTTGACTGTTCAAAAAAAAAAAAAAAAAGAAACGTAGTGCCTGAAAGTATCTTCCATCAAGAAACTTTCACTTCAGTAAACTATGGGATGTGTCCATTTAATGCCAGTGACTTGGAAAACTGCAAACTGCTGCAGAACTAAACGAAAGCAGATATTCTGTAGCAAACTATGTTCCCTGTTGGGATAAAGGAAAGGGAGCAAACTCTGATACCAGAGTAGTTTCTCTGGAAATCTCAGACATTGCCCCTGGATAATAAGGTAACCTCTCTGATCAGCCTGTTCCAGAGTTTGATCACCTTTACAGTAAAAAAGTTTTCATATGTTTAAGATTTTCCTGTATCTTAGTTCATGCCCATTGCCTCTTGTCCTTTCACTGGGTGCTGCTAATAAATTTTGTGATAAATATTAAAACTACAGGCAATTAAAATATCTGAGAAAGAATGAGTAGATGACAGATTTCAGGAATGGAAATACCAAACTTCAAAACAGTGTCACTTGATTTTATTTAATATTGATGCTTTGCCTGAGTGTTTCTGGGGTGTTTCTCCAGGTGCTAATGGGACAGCTGTGGTGTAAAGTAATGGTAGAGAGTGGCATTCAGCTAACTGAACGCAGATGCTATCATATGATAGCATCCAAGCTATCAAGCCACCAAGACTCTCAAGGGAGTCAGCAGAGAAATGCGTACTCTAGAGACATCTGCTTCAGGTCATCTTCCTAGAGGTGTCTTTTTTTCCTCCACTGGTTGTGAAGGAGCACCAGTACTCTCTGCAGCTTGTCTTAAGAGAGGCTTCCAGTGGGATCTGGAAGTTAGTGTGTCCTTGGAGCTTTAATGAGCCAGTAGAGGAGACAGTCAGTGGGAGCAGATGCTTAGAGGTGTATGCGTAGTGTGGGTGATGGCTGCCCTCAGATCAGGCTTGTTTGTGGAGATGACTGGGCCTTCCAGTGGGGCTGGTGTCTCCAGGAGACCCTTTGTCTGCATTAATGGGTTGGTTGACCTGGCCCATGGCTGTCCGGCATGCGCAGGAGGCAGAGCATGGCTCATTCCAGGCTGCTTTTGAGGCTGCTTTGCGGTGACAGATAGGCACATCCAATGTGTCAGATAAAAGCTGCTCTGGATCTGTGAATTTGACCCCAGGATGTTGTGACTGAGGGTTTAGTTTTGTTTCCTTGCCCCTCAAAAGTCAGTCCTTCTGGAATTTCTATACAATAACATTTAAGGAGTGTAAAAGAAATCTTGCCAGAGTGCTGGGAATCTGCCCAAATGCATGTTTGTAGCGGTAACTGTGGCAGGGGGCCTCTTGGAATGCAACCTGAAAAGCTATTGTTTGCAAGTGGGGAAATTCTTCTCCTTTGCTTTGAATATACACCTTTCAAGCATCCCCCTCAGACTGATCTATACCTAGTGCTAAACCTAGGATAGATGTTTTCTAAGTTACTTGTCATCTGTTGAAAAGCATGAGGCTGTTACCTTGACAACAGCCAGATGCATTGTTGGCTTCATACGATGTCCTGTTCGGTGCTTTACGTAAGCACTGCTGCTAACAGCAACAAAAGCTAATATATCTGATGTGCATCTTCAGTATGTTGGACAGTGACTTAAATCACTTGTTATTTTCCCTAATACATTTGTCTTTTTCTAAGCGTTTGTGTTCTACCAGCACACTCAGTGTGAGTACTCTTGAGGGGGAAT